TGACATGTACTTAATTGAAATACTTCGGAGTTATTGAATTGAGAGGGGGTTATAACCACAATTGAAATAAAAAGGAGCCTCTTCAACTGCAGCACCCTTTGTGGCCTTTATGGCTAAAATCAGCTCTTTCTTTTAACTCTGAAATTAGGGAAACATGAGTTTGTGATTCATTTCGAAAATTAAATACTGACTAAGTGTATATCATCTAACACTTTGTGTGTATTGATTTAAATAAATATTTTGTTTATTATGACTAAGATATAGTGTAAAATTTAGATGTTCTGTTGCTGTTTCTGTAGGATATGTTTTTCGCTTGCTTCATAGTGAGAAGTTATGAGTTCTATCCTTACCATGTTCCTGGTAGTAACCCGGAGGTGAATAACAATAAAAATAATAAAAATAACTTAATAGAAATACATAAAAAACTGTTTACCCTTATTCGTGACTTGAGACTCAAACTTATGAGAGCCAGTGTTAGTTATAATATTGTAGGAATAGCATGATATGATTATACCAATATACAAATTCGTAAAAGAAACACATTACTCAAGTTATAAGAAGCATATTAGGTAATTTCTAGTCTAGTTCCACAACAAACTAAAAGACTTTCCATTCAAATAAATAAAATATATATTATGATTAAGACATTGTCTTAATATAACTTAATTGTCTTAAATTTATACTTAATATACTATTTATATTAAGTAAAAACCTTGTTTTAATACAACTTACAACTGTCTTAGACAACTAAATTGAATGTCTTAAAAAAAAAGGCTCTGTATTTTTATTGGCATTTAATTAAACTGCTAAATAGTTTAATAACGCATTATCTATTTGTAAATAAAATACTATGTGCAAATATTATATATGTTAAAAATTTTTACTATATAAGTAATGTTAAATATACAAAGTATACAAAAACATAACAAAAATGTCAACAGATTTTGAAAATCAAATAAAGTTTTAGTAACTTTTATTTATCATTATTATGATAAAAGTTTAATATCTAATTCGAATGTGGAATATAAAGAAATAATGTATTAATTATTAGTATCACAGAATATAATGCCTAAAAACCATTGAACTAAAATTAGATTAAAAATAACATCTTTTTCGATAACGGTTTTTTAACCATTTTAAAAATGCGCAAGTTTGTAAAATCACGTTAGAAAGCTGACGTTGCTTTGATGTCAAAAGTAAAAACGCAAAAAAAGAAACGTTGTTTCAAAGTCGTTCGAACGTTAATCAGACTAACGTTGGTTTTACGTTAAACAACCAACGTCGTTCCAACGTCGTTTTAATGTTAACATTCAAGACTTTAGATGATAACGTTTTTCCGACGTTGTACCAACGTTTGATAGCAAACGTTAAAACAACACCGTTATGCCGAAGTTGGAACATCGTTGGAATTTAGTTAACTTGCGTCGCGACCAAAATACAACCAAATTACAACTACGGCTTGACGTCTTTTTCTTACTGGGTATTAAATTGTATTAAATCATGATACCGTGATGCAAAAAAAGAAAGAAAACCATTTGTAAACTGTTCGTCTTGCGTTATAGGCTTTGTTCTTTAGCATATAAAGTCATGTAACAAGTTTTTATAAAACTATGATTTCTAAATTTGAAAAACTTTTTAAATATTCTTCTGAAAAAAATTCATATACACATCACCATGGCCTACTTAAATTACATAGCCCGATTTGTTGCTTTTTCCGTTCAAAAATAAAGAGGCTAGTTTTTTTACGGCGCAAGTATAAAAACTTAATTTTTGTTATGGTTAGGATTCTTGTTTGCACCATAATTGTTTTATTTTTATTTTATTAAAATGGTTTAATAATAGTTAGATTTTCTTTGAGTACTTACATTAATTTGTGCTAGATTTTCTGTTAACTGATTGCCTGCTTCAGTTTATTTCAACAACACAGAATACTGAAATAGGCTTTCAGATAACTTTATCAACCCATACCAACATGATACTAAAAATAATCTTTCATGTTGCTAAGATTGCCTAAAACTCTCCATTGAACAAAAAAAAGGATTGTAGTTTTGCATTTTTTATAATTGAAATAAAAAGAAGAAATACATTTTTGCTAAAAATGTTTATTATGTCTTTGTCTTTTTTGAAATTCTTTTTCTTGATCTTTTCTAAATGAATATGTAATTTTTTTTGCAAATTGATATAAAAAATATAATAATACTTTTTATAGTAATTTGCAATACAATACGAGATCTATATTTGTTTCCCCATTTTAGGTAGTTTTTTATTTGTAAAATTGAAACTGCTACCCAGTGGGCATGCGTCGTCCGGGGGACGTCCATTGGACGTCTTACGGACGTCTGGACGTCCATGAGACGTCCAGCAGACGTCCTCCGGACGACGCTTGCCCACTGGGTAGATCTTTAAAATTTGTTTCGCAAATTTTTTATTGAAAATGAATGACTGCAATGTTTTATTTGAATAAGAGAAATAACATAAAATACTAAAAAGATGACAAATAAAGTTAGACAGAGGTTGAATTGAATATATAGGTTCTTCTCTTTATAAAGTAACGTTTATTGATCATAAGTTTAACATCAAAATCTTTTTGTTAATTTTTACCATTATTACTTGCTTTAGTATATATATCTGTGCTATCTTCAGAAAGCTGACAGTAGTATTTATGTAGACAACTAAGCAATATCTTGCATAATATTTTTTAAGGATTTTCAAAATTCTGGTAAATATTTTCTGGGAAAATCGGCCAAAATCTTTTTACTTATGCATATTTCTAAAAGACTCACAAAAAGTCTACTACTGGTCATTTAACTATACTTAATAAAACCTAGCTCCAAAGGATCTTTTTGTAAATTTACTATAAACAAATGTAAAGCCTTCTTCAAGGAAATCATGCATAAGAAATACAATTGCTTGTAGTGTTGTAATCAGAGCACAAGAAGTTTGTTTAATTAATGTCAAGTATTTATCAAATTTTATTTTGATCAAATTTCAGTACAATTTGCAATTTCTCTATAAAGTGTGGGTTTATTATCACCTTTCAAAGCAGCATTGCTGAGTTTGATTGGATAAATTAAGTTTCTGCTTTGAATTAAGTATGATAAATAACTCATAAAACAATGATAATTGTGCTGCGTTATTTCCTTCAGAAAAATAACTCTAACTTAGCAGTTGTAGCTGCAGTTTTTTGTCAAATATTGTCGATGTTGATAACTTTTTGTTGTTACCAAAATATGTGACTTGATAATTGATTTTTCTTGCTTTTTCATGCTTTTTTAATAATTGATCTTTTAATAAACTTTAAGAAATATATTCCCTGTAATGTAATCAGCAGTAACTTCAACAAGAAGAAAAAAACAAAAACCGAGTTTATCAAATAACAAGTATGTTTTAAACACTCTTTTTCTAAACTAAATGATAAATTAATAATTTTCCATCTCCAGTATATGCTTTTTGAAACTATAAAAATGCATTAACACTTGTAGAATGGTTATCGGTAACAACAGTTCTTATTTTAAATTCAGATTGGTACATTGAGGTATTACACTCATCAATTTCTTTTTTCAAACATAAACCTGTTATGTAAACTTTAGGTTATGATTTCAAAACATAAGAATAAATTTTTAAAAAGCCCTACAATCATAAGCACAAAAACAAACTTTTTATAAAGATTGTTTTCTCAATCTTCATCAAATTGTTTACCACTTTGGGCTGCTTTTTGGAAATACACCTTACCCACAGGAAGCAAATAATCTCTTAATAACAAATTTTTGTCAATGATTTTTCTAATATATTATAGTTTTTTAATTTGTATTTTTCACCACTGCGAAACCATTTTAATAAAGAAATATGATAAACATTTATTTAACAATGAAAAAAATTAAAATTTTATTAACAACTATTGACTCCAGAACACTTGGTATGCCTAATATTTCTTGGCTATTGTAAATAAATAGCCTGATTTGTTACATTTTAATTGCTGTATGTTTGAGACATGCAGCATAATAAAGTATTTACAATGCAAAACCTTGTTTTGCAGTGTAAATATTTTAAAGAAAAGTTTATGTTTTCTACTTAATAATTGCAATTATAATAAATACAAAATTACAAACCTTTAAAATTATGGTAAAGCTACAGTTAAGCAGCCTAAAATAATCATATTTTTTTGCTTTTTAAAACACGATGGAGCGTATTTTTATAGCGAAACTTATTTATGTTATGTAATAATAAATGTTACGGATAAGTGAATTTGAAATTAAAAGATTTTATTAAAAGTTGAAGTTTTATATTAAAGTTGAAGGTAAATAAATAATAATTAGTTGTTTAATTATTAAATTAAAAAATATAGTTTTTTAAATTAGTTGATTTAAATTAAAATTATTTGTATTTATAAACTTCTTAAATAAAATTGAATAACAAGACATGAATATATATATATATATATTTATATATATATATATATATATATATATATATATATATATATATATATATATATATATATATATATATATATATATATATATGTGTATATAAATATATATATATATATATATATATATATATATATATATATATACATATATATATATATACATATATATATATATATATATATATATATATATATATATATATATATATATATATATATATATATATATATATATATATATATATATATATATATATATATATATATATATATATATATATATATTATTTATAATTTTATAATTATATAGTTATAGATTATAAGATTACTAGATGATTAGATTATTAGATGATTAGGTTATTAGATTATTAGATTAAATATTAGATTATTAGATGATTAGATTATTAGATTATTAGATTAGATATGAGATTATTAGATTATTAGATTAGATATTAGATTACTAGATGATTAGATTATAAGATTATTAGATTAGATATTAGATTATTAGATTATTAGATTATTAGATTATTAGATTAGATATTAGATTATTAGATTATTAGATTATCAGATGGCAATGCAACGTGCTGCTCGTGGAAGACCAAGCGCTCCTACAAGCATAGTCGAAGAAATTATTCCGATTGACGCGGTTTTGCAGGAACATTGGCGTTTATTAAATTTAGGGTTTAGCATTCTACAACCAATGTCTACTTTACAGTGGTTAACTAAATGCAGATTGATAAAAAACAGAGTGTATTGCGAAAACTGCAACACACAGTTTGGTTTAAATGCCTATCAAGATGCAGAGGATGGTTTCCGGTGGAAGTGCAAAGGGTGCAACAAGCGCAAAAGTGTAAGAGATGGTTCCTTTTTTAGCGAAAGTAGGCTGTCTCTATAAACCTTAATAACTTATATATATGGCTGGAGTCAAAATATGCCACAGATAAGCATGATCCAACATGAAGCTGCTATGAAGGACGCTCCCAACACATTAGCTGATTAAGCAAACTTTTGCAGAGATGTTTGCGAAGTTGATTTGGAAACAAATCCGTCCGTTATTGGAGGAATCAATGCTGATGGGACACCAATTGTTGTTGAAATTGACGAGTCCAAATTTTTTCATCGAAAATACCATCGTGGTCAATGGCGCCCAGGTCATTGGGTGTTTGGCGGTATAGAGAAGGAGTCTCGAAAATGTTTTTTGGTTGAAGTTCCAGATCAAACTGCGGTAACTCTCCAAAATTGTATATTGCAGTTTATTTTGTCTGGTTCACATATCGTTTCGGATGGATAGGCATCTTATGCTGGATTAGAAAACCTACATAATGGAATATGTTCCCACGCAGTTGTCATCCATGAACGGAATTTTGTAGACCCTCTTGATAACGACACACAGACCTGGATGCGTGCTAAACGAAAATTGCGCCAGCAGTTTGGAACACACGAAGATTTGTTCACATCCCATATCCACGAGTTTATGTGGCGTCAACGGTATAAAGATGTTCCAATTTTTTCAGCATTTCTTTCGTGCGTATCCCGTCAGTACCCTTTGTAACTGATCAATAAAACGGCTATTTTCATAGCCACATATCTTTCAAAAAAACACATTGGCACGAACAGTAATTATAATTATCCTATCCCGGTAATTTAAATACTCAAATTTAATTTAGTTACTGCTTATTTCATAAATTAGAATCAAAGTTTTGATATTATAATAATGATATAATAATAATAAATATATTTTTTAAGTACGAGTCACAGCCAATCTTTCAATAATCAACAATAATAATATATAAAATAATAAAAAATAATATATAAAAAATAATAAGAAAACAATATATAAAATAAAGCATAAAACATTAAATTTCGCAAACAACTTCTTTTAAAACAATAAATTTACTTTGCTCTTATTAGAATAAAATAAATCCTCTTTACTTTTATATTTTTTTAATATTTTAAAGTCTTTACGAACGAGAGCGCAAACAACAAAATAGTAAATTTATTTTAGGTCGCTTAACTGTAGCTTTACCTAAATTATTTCCAATGGAGAGTTGTGGGTAGTTTTAGCTATATGTAAGATTATTTTTAGTAGCGTATTAACATGTGTTGATATAGCTATCTGAAAGCCTATTTCAGTATTCTTTGTTATTGGAATAAACTGAAGCAGGCAATCAGTTAACAGAAAATCTAGCACAAAATAATGTAAGTGCTCAAAGGAAATCTAACTAATATTAAACCATTTTAATAAAATAAAAATAAAACAATTATAGTGCAACAAGACTCTTAATTAAAAAATTAAGTTTTTATACTTAAGCCGTAAAAAAACAGGCCTCTTAATTTTTAACGGAAAATGCAACAAATCAGGCCGTGTAATTTAAGTAGGCGATGACATCACTCATATTTATTTTAAGAAAAATAATTTTAACCAAAAAATGATTTTGAAAATAAAAGTTTAACAAATTAAAACATAGTTCAATAAAAAGTATTTTAAACTATAAAGTTTTAAATTTTTAAAATAAGAAGATTAAATTTGCTTCAAAACAATCTAAAATTTGATAAAATAAAAAAATGTGTATATCCTTAAAATAACTTTGACAATTTTTTTTAGAAGAATTACCACCATATACTGCCTATCCTCCAAATGCTAATTACCAGCCTTATGCAAATCCTGATTCTTTGAATACACAAACTGTTGACAACAAAGTAAACGATTCTGCAGTAAGTTATACTTTTTTACGCATTATTCGAACTTGCAACGAAGTTTGTAATATTCTTTGAAATTAAGGTTTTTATATTCCATTGTTTGTTGATGCATCAAAGTAAGGTAGCATATATATTTTCAATTGGCATTAAAAATTATTTAACATATTCAATTGCGAAGGTTTGTATTGACTGCTAAAGAGAAGTATGGCTTAATGCTAAACCACGAAGCCAGTAAATTTAATTTAATTTTGTAAATACGAAAGTTTAAAACGCAATTAAGTTGTTATGTATATTTATATGGATTAACACCCAGCATATAAAATACTACACCCAACATATAATTTACTTCACCCAGCATATAAAACAAAATAAAATAGGCTTTTCTTTATAGGGTTCTAGAATTGATATTTTATATCTACCCATCTCATAACAAAGAGCTACTTGGTTATGAGATGGGTAGATCATAACTGTAATATCAAAGAAATATCAAGATATTTATCTCCCATGTCAAATGCTCAATTTACGTTCATTGTACGTACAAGAGACATCCAGGTGGAACATACAATTTTAGTTCAGATTTTGTTCAGATTGGAAATACTGATGTACGTCCAAATTTTAACTTACAATGTATGTCCAAATTTGATATTGGAATTTACTTTACAAATTAGAATTTAAAATTAAAAGTACAAAATAGACTTAAAATAACCTAACTACATGCCTATTCTGAAAACTTAGTCACAAATATATTTTAGAAACTTTCTTTTTCAAAATACTTAGACACTATTACTTTAAAACATCAACAAAAACTAAAAATAAAAACCACTTATTATAGATCATTTAGATTTATTATTATAAAAATTCTGCTCTTATTCTGTTTTATAGCCACGCCCATCACCATCTTTTCTGTCGGGAGCACATTTTAGAACATTATCAATAGACTGGTATACCATTATCAATAGACTGGTATACCTCATTAGGTGTATACCTCAGCATACTATCTAAAATAACAAGAACAATTAGTAATTTTGTTCTAGATTTAAAAAAAAGATTTCTTTATATAGATATATATATATATATATATATATATATATATATATATATATATATATATATATATATATATATATATATATATATATATATATATGTATATATATTTATATATACATATATATTTATATATATATATATATATATATATATATATATATATATATATATATTTATATATATATATATATATATATATATATATATATATATATATATATATATATATATATATATATATATATATATATATATATATATATATATATATATATATATATATATATATATATATATATATATATATATATATATATATATACAAAGAAATCTCTTTTTTTAAATCTAGAACAAAATAACTTAGCAAATTGCGTTAAAATATTTATATTATACTAGCTGCGTTTAAGACGTAATTAGGACGTCTTTTTAGGACGGAATAAAGACATGTTTTGAGACGTCTAAAAGACGTGAATTTAGGACGTTCAGAACAAGTGCTAAATGGAAAGGCCGAATGACGTCTTTAAATAACCTAATTTAGACGTTCTTATTTCGACGTCTAAAATACGTGTTTTAACATGGCTTTACTTAAACGTAAGGTTCAAATTTATGTTTTCACAGAACTTCTTAAGAATAAGAAAAAAATAATAAATCATTTAAATTTTTTAATAATATAATTGTGCTGAGTTTTATAAATTACAACTTTGTAAACTTTTTCTTCCAATTGTTAATTTCCAAGAATCGAATTTTCGAACAGTTGACGTCATTCAACTTCTTTTCGATCAGATGCACTCTTTAAACTATTGCCACCAGCATTTTAAAGTTTTTTTTTGCTGTAGGAATCAGGGAAGCAGTCTTAACCTTAAAAAAATATTGTTAAGATAAGTATGTAAAAATAAAGGGGGAAGAAATAAATAACACACACACGCACACATATATATAATTATTATTTTATAAACATAACATCATACATCAAAAAATACGAATTTCTCAACACTAAATTTATTTTTTTAAAGAAATTTTTGACTGGATTGTTGTGACCAGCGTATATATTTATGTATATCAAGTATGCAATATAATTGCGGTATTAAAAATGCTCTTTTTATAGTAAAATTATACTTACTTTGAAAGCATGCCCTTCTCAAATGCACTGCATGATGAGCCACCAACATTTAATAAATTCTATTTCTAAATTCAAAAGATAACACTAGTGTAATTGATATGGGACAGTTTAGTGTAAGTTATATTGGGCATAGGAGCAATTCGTTATTGCTTTATTTAATTCAAAAATTTTGTGTAAATTATGTTTATTTGTAAAGTGAGCATTATGTATATAATTACAGATCAAAATTTTTTATGCAATTTACCCTTATAAAAGAAAACTAAACATTTAACCATAATATATATATATATATATATATATATATATATATATATATATATATATATATATATATATATATATATATATATATATATATATATATATATATATATATATATATATATATATATATATATATATATATATATATATATATATATATATATATATATATATATATATATGTATGTATGTATGTATATATATATATATATATATATATATATATATATATATATATCTTAAAATTTTACTAACTACATCTTTTGAAAGGAAATTCTTAAATGTTCTTTTTTTCTTGCTGATTTGACTAGGTACCTATTTTGAGTATTGAGAAGTATTAAAAAAACTAATTTATAAAGATAAAAGGCCTAGATAGTTAAAATAACTTCCAAGATAGTTATTAGAAGAAAAAATATTTCTTACATTATTCTTTGTAAAACTTTAAGATTTATCATTGACTTCATATATTTTCTTTAACTTTGTTTTGGGAAAAGCGAAATTTTGAATCACAGACTTTCAAATTTTGGAGGAGCTGAATGAATTAAAGATGTTGTTACTAATAAAAATTCATTAGGCATATTACATAAAATAAATTATATTACATTAACCATTACATAAAATGAACTATAGCCAAAACCGTTGTTCTATTTTTTTAAAACCGAAGGCAAAAATAAAAATGAACTTTAGAGTTAAACACATTTAATCGAATAAAATTTCTTTAATTTAAAACAAAATTAGATACAAAAACTACAAAGACATCAATTCTAGATTCCTAAATGCATATTTAAACAAATGCAATATGAGTTTTTGAAATACAAAACAAAAATGAACTTTAGAGTTAAACACATTTAATCGAATAAAATTTATTTAATTTTAAACAAAATTAGATACAAAAACTACAAAGACATCAATTCTAGATTCCTAAATGCATATTTAAACAAATGCAATATGAGTTTTTGAAATACAAAATAAAAATGTAACATAATATTACCAAATACAAACATGTATTTGACCAAAATATATATATATCATCTGACACTTGATGTAGTTGACACTCCTAAAAATAAAATCTTAATTAACAAGTAAATAAAATTTATGGATAAAGTAAAAAATATTCTTACAAGTGTTTTTTTTTTAGTATTAGCATTTTTTATTTTTATTTTTTTTAATTTTTCTGTTCAACTTTAAATTGTATCTAATTGATGTTTCACACTATCTATTTCTAAATTTTACTACAAATTCTACATTTACTTCAAATACTACAAATTCTACTAATTTTAACTAATAATAACTAATAGTTCTAAATTTTAACTAACTCTAATAATTTTAAATTTTAGCAAAACTCAATTTTAATTTATTTGACATATATTTTGTATTTTTACTATTAAAACTGATGCTATAAGTAAGGATTTTAAGGAGACATTTTTCT